ACCCAGAGCTGATGACCATAGATGAGAGTAGGAACTAGATCGACCAGTAAATTGAGAGCTTTGCCTTCTGACTCAACACCTGCTCTACTGCTGCACCAGTCCGTCTGATCGTCTCACGCTCAGTTCTCCCGTCACTCATGAACAAGACTCTGAGATACTTCACCTCCTTTGCTTTGGGAAGCAACTCATCGCCAACCCAGAAGGATCAATCCACCGGTTTCCAGACTCGGAGGTGTTGACTCATCCCGGCTGCTTCACGCTCGGCTGCCAACCATCCCAGTTTGCTCTGAAGGTCACGGCATGATGAGGCCAACAAAACCACATCATCTACGAAAAGCAGAGGCACGACTGTGAGGTCCACAAACTAGACACCCTCTTCACTCTGGCTGTGCTCTGAGATTCTGTCCATGAATGTCAAAAACAGGATTGGTGACGAGGTTCATCTCTGCTGGAGTCCAACACCCATCAGAAATCTGTTTGACTTTGAGCTGAGCTTATGAACACATCTCCTGCTTTGGTTATACAAGGACTGACTGGTTTATAGCACAGCGTCCCTCAGAGTACACAGATGTAGAACTCCTCCAAGTTCACAAAACAAAACAGGACAAGCTGGTAAAACTCCCATTAACCCCAACAACAACTCCAAAGGAGTGAATAGCCGGTCTGCTGGTCCACGGCCAGGACAGGGTCAACTCCTCTGGTCCTCCTTTCACTTTCCCGACCTGACAGCTGGTAGCTCCACATCGCTCTGCTTGTTTATTCACCTTAAGTGTAAGTCATGAATCTGCTGGACTTGAACATATAATCCACCAACTTTATCTATGTTACTGTAACACACAGTCTCCAGATTACACCATTACATTCACACATTGATAAGCTCAACAACATGACAGAGCTGCAGTGTGTTGGTGTCGAGTCCTTATCATGGCTTATTCTTATCTTTGCTGGATTAGTGTGTCGCAGAGGGCACACAGAATAACTGACCTCCTCCATTTGAAATACTTTATATTAAGAAGGCAGACATCCTGGAACTGTGCTTTTAGCTTGTTGCCTCCTGTTGAAGGTAAAACACCAGCAGTAAAAACATCAACATTTATAGAGATCGTGTGAATTTTTTAAAAAGTTTAAAGGATATTTACATGTGTACAAATAATGTGCTTACTTATAATCCCTCCATCCATCCAGTATCTATACACCTCTTAATCCTCACTAGGGTCGTGGGGGGCTGGAATCTATCCCAGCTGACTCAGGGTGAAGGCAGGTTCACCAGGTCACCAGTCTATCACAGGGCTACACTTAGAGACAGACAACCAAGCACACTCACATTCACACCTACGGACAATTTAGAATCACCAATCCCAGGTGTCCTCACCGGGACGTGAACAGGCGACCTTCTTGCTGCGAGGCAATGGTGCTACCTTGCAGCCCCGCTTACCTATAATATAATAATATGTGGAGTGATATTTACATGGGGCTGCAAGGTGGCACAGTTGGTAGCACTGTTGCCTCGCAGCAAGAAGGTCGCCGGTTCGCGTCCTGGTGGGGGCACTGGAATCTTTCTGCGTGGAGTTTGCATGTTCTCCCCGTGCAGCGTGGGTTCTATCCGGGTTCTCCGGCTTCCTCCCACACAGTCCAAAAACATGTTGAGGTTAATTGGTGATTCTAAATTGTCCGTAGGTGTGAATGTGAGTGTGCTTGGTTGTCTGTCTCTAAGTGTGGCCCTGTGATAAACTGGTGACCTGTCCAGGGTGTCCCCTGCCTTCACCCTGAGTCGGCTGGGATAGACTCCAGCCCCCCGCGACCCTAATGAGGATTAAGCGGTGTATAGATGATGGATGGATGGATGTTCTAGTTATTCACAGTCGTAGGTTTTTACATCACATTAGACATGTAATCTCACAGTTTGTTTTATTGATCATTTTGTGTGTATGAAAAATAAATGAAAACATCTGGAAAAAAAACAAAATACTTATCTTTATTTCTTTATTACAGTGAAAGTGAAGCATGTCGTTTCTAAACAGCTTCTATTTTCTGCTTTACAGCTTGACTTTGATCAATAAACGAGCCACTGATGGGTTGAGTTCAAATATGTGATTTTGTTATAGACACACCTTTAATAAAACCCAGTTATTGATTAACAGTTAAACAGGGTCATGTCCCCAGTGTGTGTGTGTGTGTGTGTGTGTGTGTGTGTGGTGGAGGTGGGATGGGCCGGGGGGGCGGGGCTTGTGCTGCTGCTTATCTCCGCCTTTGGACTCTACAATAAGTGCCCTTAGAAGGAGAGTCTGTCAGACTGAAGGCTGGAGAGGATTTTTCAGAGTTTCAGAGGCAGTAAATCCTCTTTTCATAGCAGTCTGTGATCAGAACCCGTTTCCTGTTCAGATGAAAGGCTTCCTGTTCAGGATGATGTCGTGCTTGTTGACCATTAGTTTGACAGCATCGAGTCCTGGAAGTGTCACAATAACTTTATTCTAAGGACGGAGCCTGTTTGCGCGTTTGGATCCAGAACTTCTCCTGGCTTTCATGTTCCTCCCCGTCCAGCCCGGGCTCAGATAGCAACACTTTGACCAGGTTTGCATCTGGAAGCGTCATCCGGGCCATCATCAGACCTAATCCGTCTGCGTCCTGCAGGATAATCTGCAGAGGTCCTGCTGCGGGGAGGCGGATGACCGGGCATGGAGATGTTGCGCCGCTCCTCTGTGTTTGCGGCTGAAGTGTTTGACAGATCTCCCACCGACAAGGAGCTGGTGTCCCAGGCCAAAGCTCTGTGCAGGGACTACATCCACTCCAGGCTGAACCGGGCCGGGATCGGCTGGTCCAAACCCGAACACGGACTGGCTGCATCAGGTGGGACTCTGGGGGAGATCTCGTCGGTCCTGCTGTGGCTGGGTGAGTTTCACTGGCTCGGTGGTTCAAACAGAGACTCATGATCACCCTCAGTGTGTGTTTGTTCCTATGAGGTGCCCACAGAGTTTATATATGAGTTCATATCTGTGCTGATGAGGACACATGGATCAGGTTCTTGGTGAGTTTTCCTTAGAAACGTGTCTGTATGAAGATATAATATGATGTTTGTTATATCTTAGAATGTAAAGATGCAAAAAGTGGAGATTTATTGGACAGATATCAGTGTTTCAGATCAATGTGATCATTTTAGGTAAAAACAAAATAAAGAAATAATTTAGACTTTCATACTGTTTTTTCAGTATTTTTGAAATATATATAATGACAAAAATAGACTGTGTGTTTATATGTGTAATGTAAAATAACAAGAAAAAAATCATTTTATTAAAAAAAAACTGAACACCATACATTACAATAATTTGCAAATTAATCATAACTTCACAAATATTATCTTATTATTCAACAGAATAAACATTTAAAGTCAAATTTAATCCTGTAAATAGCAACAATTACCAGAAATAGAAGTATTTGTTGTAAAGGTTTACATAGATGGGTGTGCAGTTTTGAGAAACTGTGAATGTTTGTCACAACAAAATACTGAATGATGTGTTTTTATCAGTGTGTGTAATTATCTGTACACATTAGTAGTCTGTTAAAGTACAGTTTTTATCATTCTACATACAATTTATTATATATATATATATATATATATATATATATATATATATATTGTAGGTAATTTCGTTATAAATATCTTTCAATAACCATTAAAAAGCAGAAGCAAATTAATACACATGATCTCCATTTTTTTACAGCATTGAGGACACAGGGATCGTGTTGTTTTTCTCGGAAATGTATGGCCACATCATATGCTTTTATATTGAACATTTAAAGATGCAAACAGTGAAGTTTTATAAGAAAGATGCCGGCGTTTTAGACCTTGTGGCCGTTTTCATCCACGAAAACTGAAAAAACAGATAAATACACAAACAATTTTAACAAAATTAAGCAGTGATAGACAAGAGAATAACCCATCAGCTCCTCATTTAGAGAAACAACAATCATATTTAAGAAGCTGAAGGTTTTGCTAAATGTTCACATGTGACTACAACCTTCTAGTGTGAGCTGAAAAAACCCCTCCAGTCGTGTAGACCTCATCATTCAGAAATGTGTTGCAGTTTTGCCTTTCATTTTCAGTGGAAGACCTTCAAATGATTCCTGGGAATCCCTAGTTTGCATAATATTTACCTCCCTGGATGCTCGCCCAGCAGGAATAGTCACAGACTCCAGTGGGAGGTTTCACTTCACCGGCTGTGGTTATCAGAGTCCCTCCAGCTTAACAGTTCACTGGTAACATGGATCTAACAGGACCACTGACTGGAGCGCTCAAGTCTGCTGAAAATTCTGAATACTGAAAAAGTTGCTTCTTCAGAGATTCAGTGACGGTGGAAACTTCAGGAACATTTTAAAACCAACAAACAAGAACTGGCTGAGTCAGCGTGTTTTCATGTCACATCTTGTGCTTCAGCCTAAACTCAGCTGGTGTTTACTTCTCTCCTGCTCACTGTGCTCACATATACTGCAACTTAAAACAGCCAAATTCACAACAAAGCTGCTTTTAATTGTTTTAAAACCTTTTCCTGTTACTGATGTGAACCATCTTTACTATATTCTTAGCTGAAAATCGTAGAGACACATTCTGTGGACATGTGAGACTCATTAATTTGCTGAAACGGGCCCAGTATGATCACCAAGGATGATCTGACTTGCACATCTTGAGGTGTGAATTGTTGTGTAACTACCAAGTGAGGGATGATTCAAGGTGTTAATGGTGGTCAAACTGTCTGGGGAAGGTTCTTAAGGCTGCATTATACAAACCTTTGAGTATATATAAAGGGTTCATTTTCAAAAACAGATAACTCCATCTTTGTAGATTTTCAGAAAACTTATTTTTTGTTGTTGTGTGCTTGAGATAATATCAATCAAATCGAAGCTGAGTGGATTTGACTCCGTAGAAATGACAAAAACAGAGATAACTTAAGTTTTATTGGTATTGTCTCAGGTGAACGATGGAAAAGTGGGTTTTCTGAAGGTTGCAAAGATGGAGTTATCTGTTCTTCATATACATAATAAGTGGTGTCATGGATCTGTCTGCAGAGACATACTGACGGAGTTTATCTCCTCTGTTTTGGTCAGGTGATGAGTTGGAGTACCTTCGTCCCAACGTGTATCGTAACGTGGCCCGACAGCTGAACATCACGGTAGCGTCAGAGAGCATCGTGTCCGACGCCTTCCTGGCTGTCGCCGCGGACATTTTCTCCACAGGTCAGTAGAAATCTTCTTCTGTTAAATCAAGCCATGCATGCAGGTCTGCATCATGGGAACTAACTTTCTCATCAGCTCTGACCTGCACAAACTTGAAATTCAAGATATTTGTCCCTTTTAAGGAAGTTCATTTGTTTATGACAGGGAATGAGGAACTTCACATACTTTAAAGACAATACAGATATTGAAAATTTGGAGAACTTATGTCTCCTATTGATTCTTTTTGTTGAAGTATTTAAGTGATTCATAACGTCCCCCCTCTAAAATAAACCAACCCCAGCCTACTTTGTCATGTAAACACCTCCTACGTAGTCTGACCATTAGAGAGAAATATTTTGGTGCTGCCATTATCCCCGACAGGAGAGGAACCGCAGGGAAAGCATTCAGTCCATATTAGGTTAACATGTTGCCTGAGCGAGTGATTGTTACAGACAGTTTGAACCCCACCCAAAGAGTTCAGTAATGAGTCTCAGCTGGCTGTCTCCTCTGGGAACATAACAAAGCAATCGGCTGCGAAGGTAACCAGGAGTCAACTACAAACTACAGGAAGTCAGGCCAGTTCAGTCCTCAGTAATGGGAAGAGTTGGTATTAAATGCTGTTATGGTTATTATAGCTACTACTGATGATTGGATTTAATGCCAGAAGCGGAAACGTTGTTGTTTTGGCCTCAGTTAAGGCTCGGTGAGTTGAACATAAAACCATCCGTGACAACAGTGTAAATACAGACAAACACTAAAGCTGACAGTCTGGACGAGTCACTGTGTGAAGAGGAAGTCCTGACCAACTGTAGATTACGACCTCAAACTTTCTGATGTCACAAACGTCGAGCTGCTTTCAACGCTGCAGAGATAAACTCCAGCTACTGGGTCATCCTGTGCAGGAGTGCTGGAGGACATGAGCGCATTATTTGGTGTTTATGAAGCACATTTAAAAACAACAAGAGGTGAACTGAAGTGTAGTACAACTCCAATAGTGAACCATAAAACACAAGAAGACAAATAAATAAAAGATTAAAAAAAAGAATAAAAAGTTACAGCACAACAAGGTATAAAGCCAGCGTGTCAAGCTCAGCCCAAGTTAAACGACAAGAAGAGGTCGGTCTTCTACAGCAACTTAGAAGTTCCTAAAGTCTGACCAGTTCGTACATAAACAAGGTAAACTCTCCCAGAGAAAGTTTAATCGCCTTTGTTTTTGTGCCTCCATCTCAGAACATCAATGAGAGTTACAGGAAGTACAATTTGGAATGAGGCAGCTTAACACAGCATGCTACGCAAATCTCATTTTTCATGACTAATCTGCAAGAGAAGTCTGTCTGACAGAACATAATTCACTCCGGACACGCTGAGGTTTTAAAAAAACAACTTTATTTAACAGACACAGAGTTTGTTGACATGTAGCCTCCACATGAGCACAGAAAAAGAGCGACGAACAGAAGATTTGTTGCAGAAAGGAAACACAGTTGTAGCACCGCACAGTGAGTCCAGTGAGGTGACACTTGTAGAAATGTGTAAAAAGCAGGCGTCCAGCTGCTCATTAAAATGTTTTGGGTACAGTTTGATTTATATTTCTCCTCCATGAAGTGCTGACTTCAGGTTAAGATAGTTTGAAGTTTCATTTTGATGCAGATTGGAGCACTAGCAGGAACAACATGAAAGTGAAAGTTTATTTAACTGTGAAAGTGCCATAAAGATAGTCAGCCTCTAACGTCAATCATTAACTTTAATAATTAGACCAAACATGAGCTCATTATTGATCAAAACAGTCACAACTGTCATGTTGTCCATAACGGGGCAGCTATCCTCAGTCGTATGAAAATATTTCAGCTACAGGAAAGAAAGATGCTGATTGAAAACAGGTTGTCTGTCGTCAGCATCTTGCAATCGTCACAAACACACGAGACAAACACAACTATTTGTTTGATCATTTAAATCAGCACCACGACGTTGTGTATGAGCACAAAGCCAGATGTGAATACAATCTAAAGCATGTTTTTTATCAGTGTTACACCACATTAGAAAGGTTCCAGGTTGTTCACACTCACGATTAAACCGCATCATTCAGATTTAATTACTTTTAATTTTCTAACAGATGCACTTCCCTACAATATAATTCTAAAACAATTAATTCTTTTGAAATATGCTTAATCGAGTCATCTGGTGAAAATTCCTGTTTTTTCTTTTTTGTTCTACAGAAAAATATTTCAATGTCTGTTTTCTTTCCCCCTAATATTGTGCAGCAATACTTCTTTTAATAGGTTTTAGTGGAGCCAGTTTCTCTGTCAGCAGCTCTCTTTAAAGATGGATGAACAAATTATAAAACCTCAGCAGCATTGAGGCATTTGGCTGCACGTCTGTCTGTGCCACAAAGAGAGAAAAAATTTAAAAATCCAAACACAAGGCTTGGGACAGCAGGGAGGCAGTACGCTGCACGAGATTAGTGAGCAGATCATTTTTCCAACTCAGTGTGTGTGTCGAGTCGAGCTTTGTGCTGCCACGCCATTTACAGTCAAAGCTTCAGACTATTTCTGTGCTGTTTATACGTCCAACTCATACAAACCGAGCCTCAGCTCCATCCATCTTCTGTAACTGTCGTCTGATTGCTTCCTAGAATCTCATAAACGGAGGTCAGGTTTCTCTTTAATGGTGGATCTGGAATTTGCAGGATTCTGCTGCTGCTACATGTCGTGAGTTAAGATGAAACTATGTCCTTTTAAAAAAAAACAAAGTTATGGATTTAGATGTTCCAAAAAAGACAGAAGGAACAGTAAGCCTGTTTCTGTTTGTACTGTAGCGCTTAACTGGAATCAACAAGGTGGAACAAGACAAATCAAAACCCCCCCCAAAAAACTAAAGCAACATCTTCCTGCTGGAACAAAACCAACATTTTGTCAGTTTTAGTGTTCAGATTGTGATGCGACCACAGTTTTATTGACTGAGACGTTTCAATGTGAACAACTGGACGTAAATAAAACCTTTGGTCAGTGGTTATTTGTAGGAAACTCACTGCATCACATGAGATGTAAAATAAATACAACATCGGAAAAAAGTGATTATATTTAGTTTTTCCGTAGTATATATTATATGGAGCAGATGACTGGAATAAGTCTATTTGGAAAGAATTAGCCGCGCTAGAATGACTGGATTGATTTTGTAGAGGAGTGCATTTGCATTGACAATATGTGATCATTTTAAAAATGCAGAAAAGAAGCCGTTTGGAACATTTGTCTGATTGTGTAACGCTGGCAAAACAATTCAAAATAGGTTTTGAGTATTTGATGCTGAAACGATACGTCGTGCAGCCCGACTCTGACTGCATACAGTCGTCCTCAAATGTATTCATACCCTCCTATTAAAGAAGGAAACAAACAGCTGTCAATGAAATAAGTTGAAATTGACAAAAGTAATAATACATAAAAATTTAATGAAAATCATGACATTGCTTTTAACTTGTGGTTCAACAGAAATATTAAAAAAACAAACAAACAAACAAAAAACAACAACAAGCATGATGGGACTTGTAAACTAATATTTTGTTTTGATTTTGGCCCACTTTAAAAAAATTATTATTATTATTATTATTATTATTATTATTATTATTTTAAACCACAATTCAAAAGCAATGTCTTATTTCACAAAATTACAATTTTGCAAATTTTTATTTATTATTACTTTTTTCAGTTTCTAGTTATTTGAGTGACTGTTGTGAATTTTGCCTTTTCTTTAATGGAAGGGTCTGAATACATATGAGGACGACTGTAAAAACAGCAAAGTCACTTCAGTTTTATACCATTTGCACAAACGACAGTGTGTTTGTGCATCAGAAAGCGATATTTAAACTCATCAGTCGACACAGCTTTAAATGTGTGTGTGTGTCTGTCTTCAGGTGTGACATGGGGGAAGGTGGTTTCCTTGTACGCTGTGGCCGGAGCTCTGGCCGTGGACTGTGTTCGCCACGGTCACCCCGCCATGGTCCATACCATTGTGGACTGCATGGGGGAGTTTGTCCGCAAGAGTCTGACCTCGTGGTTGAAAAAGAGAGGGGGCTGGGTAAGAGAAAACTTCTTTACATGTGGTTACTTGTCTGTGTGGCTGCTTTGGTGCGAGTGTGAATATCACTGATGATGCAACCTTCAGCAACAGAAGTGAAAGTAACAACCAGCATCTATGATTTTAAGTACGGGTCAGTAAGAGATGGTAAAATGATGCCGAGAGATATTCACATGCTTTGTAAACATGTGAATTAACTGCCAGTGGGTTTGAAAGGCATATTATCTTTAAAAACTCACCAAATTCACACCATTTATCAGCCAGAATCTGCAAGAAGAAAAGGAATAGTCAGGTTTGTTTTTTTTTTAAAACTCAAACTAATCATGTGTGATGTGAGGTTCCATCAGGAAACTCAACCAAGTCTACCCTTAAATTTGTGATACATCATCAATACAACATGACGTGTTTAAAATGTTGTCAACACTTAACTGTTTGCTTTAACCAGACTCTGTAAAAACACACAAAAACTCCTCCACAGCACAACAGAGAAGCCATCAGTGACTTAGCTGTGACCAACACGACAGAAATTCTGGTGCTTCTCAGGTGAACTGCAGGAATTTTTTGTCTTTTTATGGTTTATGAGATTATAACTGTGTCAAACTATAAAAATGACACTTCTTAAAGTCTCTCTGCTTCTATCCGTGGCTGTGTTGCTTCCATTGAGGTGCAGGACTTTATATTGCAATGAAAAACGATCCCACAATGAATAAAACAAAACCCAGAAACTTCTTGGAGTTCAGAGGGTTGAGTTTGTCAATGTGTAGACAAGATTTGTGGCTGAAAAAATGTGTGAAGCTCAGAGCTCAAAGTTCCCACACTGATGTTCTACATGTGAAAACCACTTTGCTTCAGGCTGTAAAAGCAGGGTCAGAAATCAAGCATGTGCTCACATGTAACTCCAGAGTCACGCACTCTGAGTTCTGATTTTCTGCTTTATGTCTGTACATGGAGGCGTTTTTCTTCTCAGTCAGCGTCTGATATAAACTGCGCTCAAATTTTATTGAGATGTTCTAAAAAAATGTTTAATCTTCTCTACGTATTTACGATCATTTCTCACATGTTTACAGAAGGTTATGATGAACAGGTTGGGAGAATATCTCTGAAAATTTAACAAGCCCAAAATCTTAAACTCTGATCCCATAAACGACGTATTTGTGCTGGCAGTGCACACCCTGCTGTCCTGGGTGTGGCGGTAATCAACATGTGTGTGATGAATATTCAACCTGCAGTTCATTGCGTTATAAAACAAAAGTTGAAAAGAAATGGCGTTCATCTTAAAGAGAGATCACATAAGGACACTTGGTGGTTGGGTTTAAAAAGGTGAATCAATAGATGCACTGATAAAGACGCCCTCTGGTGAGAGTCACATTTTTTTTTAGCTTGTTATGTGTCCATGATGTTTTATATTCTGGGAGAGACATCACGAGTGAAATAAGGAGTCGGTGCCGAGCGTTGCCATCCTGGATGCAGTGTGATGACGACGGTCTCAAAAACACAGATTCAGACTTCAAGGGTTTCATATGTGACACCTTGTTGTGATACCTGCAGGGTGCTTTTTGACAATGTGGAGGAGGGAAGATGAAGGTTTTTGTGCTTGCTTTTCTTGTTTTTGCCAGTTTTGCACTTGCTTTATATCCACCATGTGTAAGACTATTTATAGTGGACACAAGAGAAAATACAGATGAAGCACATCACTGACGGACATTTTACATTTAGTTTGACAATCATATGAAGTGTTTCCCTGTGGTTAAAATACTCGTTTATTTAACGTTTTCTATTACATGAATCCCATAAAAGTCTGCTGACAGCCTAACTGTGCAAATACTAATAATAAACTAATAAATAAAAAAATAAAAAAATAAAACTAATAATATTTTTGGGGTCTCTTTACTGGTTTGGGTCTGCAAGGTGGTGCAGTGGTTAGCACCATTGCCTCGCAGCTCGACGGTCGACGGTTCGCGTCCCGGTCAGGACACCGAGGATCTTTCTGCATGGAGTTTGCATGTTCTCCCCGTGCTGCGTGGGTTCTCTGACTTCCTCTCACAGTCCAAAAACATGTTGAGGTTAATTGGTGATTCTAAATTGTCCGTAGGTGTGAATGTGAGTGTGCTTGGTTGTCTGTCTCTAAGTGTAGCCCTGTGATAGACTGGTGACCTGTCCAGGGTGTCCCCTGCCTTCACCCTGAGTCAGCTGGGATAGACTCCAGCCCCCCATGACCCTAGTGAGGACTAAGCGGTGTATAGATAATGGATGGATGGATGCATTGGTTTGAAAAGAATGGGAATCCCTTGTGCTTGCATTCACTGCAAAGATGAGACTCCAGCTGGACAATGAAGAAGAAACGTATTGAAATTGTATTTAATTGCATGATGCTGCCATTAAAACATTGTGCAAGTTCGAAAAAGACATTATATAGTTGAATCCATGTATTAGGGTTATTAAGACGTCGCGGTGGACAAAGTTTCTTCTTTTAAGCTAATCAAGTGTTTCTCCTCAAATTTCTGTCAGCAGTTGGAGATAAATATCTGTTTTTGTGGAGGATGTTGGATCTAAAGTTTGTCTAACTGTGATAAAGTTCATGATATCAGTAGCAGAAATCGCTAGAGGGAACCAGTGGAGCTCGTTATTTTGAACTATTGATCGTCAACCTTGGTAGTCTTGTAACTGTTGGAGAAAACAACCTGAGAATTCGAGGTCTAAGGATGTGAAATTAAAGGATGACTCCTGTTTGATGCTTCACACTGTGTCACCTAGATTCCTAACAAATGTGCACAGAAGAGCCGATCCAGAACTGCAGACCGGTTCCACTTTAAAAAGCAATAAACTGGAGCTTCAGACAAAACAGCAGATGATCTTCTGCAGAATCCTGTTATTGGGAAAAGCCTGTTTGATGAAGTCCTGCAGAAGCAGTGAAGTGAACCTCGGGCACCAGACGAACGAGGCCTGACGACGTGCTTCAGTCTGCTCTGCTGGAAACAGCACAACAAGTGAATCCTGGGAAACATGGCACCAAAGCCTGGTTTGTTTTGAAGATAAGTGGAGTGTGACAAAATGAAGAGCAATGCATTGTATAACTGACCTCATAAGCACGAACCAGAGAGCTGTTTTTCACCGCCGCCGTCCAGACTCAAACGTTCCTACACTGAGGGATGATGTCAGCATGGTGGAAACCTACAGAACATTTTGTGATTGGAAGAACAAGGAGGAGCTGCAGGGGGAGACGTGCTCAGTGTCAGGACTGACACTAAACTGTGCTGTCTGTGGTGTTTCAGTGTCTGTGAAAGTTATATACAGTTAAGTCCTAAATTTCCAGAACAAGAAACTTTCTGGTCGCATATAAATTCACATTAAATCCACATTTGGCACAAGTGTGAATCCTTTTGGGCTCAGCTGTAAGCAGATCGGTAATCACTGTAAGCATTGCTGGGAATTCAGTGACGGCTTTGGCTCTGACGAAACATTCTTGTGGGTGAATTGTACTGCAGATTCTCAGAATAGTGAGAAATCAAGAACATGTGTTGGATTTATGAGACGTTCTTTCTGCTGTGAAGCACACACCTGAGGTTTATTTGCTCCAAATGTGGCTTGTTTTGTTTCAGAATTTAGACTCAGGTGTGTTTCTCGTGTCTCCTCACAGGCAGACGTGACCAAATGTGTGGTGAACACTGATCCCAGCTTCCGCTCTCACTGGCTGGTGTCTGCTGTCTGCGCCTTTGGACATTACCTGAAGGCCGTCGTGTTGTACCTCCTCAGGGAGAAGTGACAGTCGTACACTGGACTGGGCAGACGGACCTGCACTGCACACCAGCACCACTAAAGCATCCACTGCTTTGGATTATGTTTACACTCATTTGCACTGAGCCTTCATTGATGAACACGTCTTCATTCACAGAGAACAAACTCTCCTTGCTTCTTTTTCTTCTATTTATAGTTATATGTGGCACACATATAAAACCACATTCTGTGCATTCACTGCTGCCTGTCTGGCGGTGATCTGGCGGTCTCTAGTGGTGACTAGTGGTAACTACTGTACATTTAAAGGTCCCATATTGAAAATCCATTTTATTTGTGTTTTTTGTGTCTTAATAACCTGGAGGTGTAAAATAAAAGCTGTGAGACTATGAAATCGCTTACTGCTGCTATTCCCCCCTCGACTAGACGACCTCCCTGTTTTACTCAGTTACTGTGTAGAAACTGAGGAACTGAAAGTTGTTGAGCTAACAATGTGTATAATCCTGCCTCCTTTCAGAACGATCTGCCTCAGTCCACTGTGCTTATTTACTTTCTAGAGGTGCTTCTGCCAACTCTCAAACATCTCAGCCACCAGCAAAACACACCAAATGTTCTGCTGTTGGCTGCAAGAGTGAACACAAGAGTCTTCATGCACTCCCAGCATCTTCTGATTCAGATTCAGATTTGCTTTATTGTCATTGCAACGCGTACAGCGAAAAGTAAGGTGCAGGCCTTTCAGTGCAAAAAACCCAACTTTGTAAACAGCTATTTATAACATAATATATATATTACATTTTTTTATAAATAAGATGAAATTAAATAATAAACACAAGCACAGTGTATGTTGCACAGAGGTAGTGGCAGTTGCATATTTACAATATATTACACTTATTATGATAAAGAGGCATTGTTGGCTCTGACAGCAGTTGGAGAGAAGCTGTGTTTCAGTCTATTAGTCCTGGTTTTGATGGCCCTGTACCGTATCTTTGGAATTGAAGGTCTTGTGGATTACTTTTATTTTTGATGGCCTTGTTTCCACAACAGTAGAAAAATAATTTGTCTTAGCACATCGTTTGGCTAATGTTACCCTTAGCTGTGATAGTACAACCACAGGTCAGAGCTCTGAAACCTTTAAGAGCAATTTAAAACCATTAAACAAGGACTGGGTGGGTTATTGTGGTTTCATGTTGCCTGTAGTGCTTCAGTGAAACTCAGCTGCCGTTTACATCTGTTAGCTTCTCTCCTGCTCTCTGTGCTCACATATGCTGTATTTTAAGTACAGCAGAACTCCCAATGAAGCTGTTCTAAATTACATATTTTTCTGTTCATTGAATGAAAGGCCGCCTATTAAGGCAACACGTTAACCAGCTGTCACCTCAGAGTCAGTTCCAATCTGCGGCTCTGTGCCAGTAAAATACTGACTTCATAACATCATCCGACCAAAACAACACTACACGAGTTTATGTGAATTTGATATTGTTTTTTAAAATGATGACACAGAGAGAAAGTCTGAAGACAGTCCGATTCTCACACACTCTTGGTCTGTTGTTGTGCTTGTACTAGAGTCTTCTTCCTAAAGGGGGCAGCAGCAGCTAAGATGCGTTTAAAGGTACAGACACAGATGGAGCTAAAACCAGGAGTCACACCGTCACGGTGACATTAACCTTCTTTGCACATTCTCAGGACATGTGAGACTTTTAGTAATTTTCTGAAAAGCAGCACAATGTGGGACCTTTAAAAGTCAGCTGAGAACATTCCTCAGGATTCTGAGGCATCCTATGAGGGCTCGAGGTGCTAACGTGCCTCCTCACTTTCCTCACTCTTCCTTCTTAGCTCCTCCAATGAGGACGTGAGGAAGGAAACACTTGTGTCTTCTATAAGCTCCTCCAGAAGCCTCCTTACTCCTCGTCTCCTTGAGGTGCACTTAGGGGAATTGGAAGATCCTCGTGGCATCAGAGGCGGAGCAATTATTCAGGATGCCAGAGGATGTGAGGAAACACAAATTAGCATAATGAGCACTCTTGGTATTAACCTGGATGTTCTTTAGAGCCCAACTGAGTAAAATACACCACGTTTTCCTCTAACTGAGAGACTGTACAAACACCATTAGCCGGTGAGGTTCAGAAAACAGGAAGGTTTCTGAACAGGACAACAGTCATAAATTACATCATCTAATTTATTTATGCTTTTTCTCTTTTACTTATCAACAGTGGAGACAGTTGTACCCACTCAGTGCTCCTAATCCGTGTTTGGATAATAGTGGAGAGTTGAGTTTTTCCAAGTGAAGTGGAAAAAATATTCTCAGATGATAAAGACTGACGCGCTTCACTGAGCTAACACTTCATGTACACTCCCTAATCAGTCATTTAATGCCGCTTTCCTCCCTCCTCATTGTCTGCTGTGAGGCTGTGTGTCACGTTACTGCACTGCCATGGCAGCAATTCAAGCTGCAGCATGTTTTCCTTCGAGCACTTTGACAACATTTCAGTTCATGAGCAGAATTTATTCCACGAATGATTTCACTTTTATACGGCATGTAGCACGAGAAACAAAATGAGTAAATGTTTGCGAGTCGTCCGCAACTGTAAATATTAATAAATGGTTCTTAAGACAACCTGTCGAGTGTGTGTTTGTGAACAGCAGGTAAGAGATTCATTAGAAAGCGGCGCAGTGTGGAACATTTTGCTGCAAATAAAATCCTGGATTTGGGTTTATTTTCAATGTTTTAATGTCCAGTTTGATCTGCCACCTAAAAGAGAACTATTTGTACACAGGCGTTCAATAAACATGCATCATGCAGGAATCTCATATTCCAAACACCTTTTATGAGATGCCTGTAAGAGTGCATCGTCAAGCTCTCAGTCAGATCCACCGCTTGCTCTTCGTAAGATGTGAAAAACTCAAAGCTCTAAAACAGAAGTCCACAAACCAATGAGTAACATCACAGTGGTAACATATGTCTCTATATATATGTATATGTACATACAGCCTGGGAGCAGCTGTCATTTCTTTCTTCACATACAGTCTGTAGTGTGTAAACACAGCACTGACTTTATGACGCTTGTAAAAATCTGGTTTATATGAACCACACAGTAAAGATTTCAGTCAATATAATAAAAGAACAGCTGAGTACCTGAATGCCTCGTCTCACCGCCTGATTGTCTTCTTGTGACAGTCCAACACCTCCAGATGTGACCACATAAGCCTGCTACCAGCAGCCATACGTCAACTCTGTGATCCTGTAAGACTGAACTGTGGGAAAAACCCACGCTGACACACTGTTTTTAATATGTGAGGTGTTCTGAGGATTATGGTTGTCACTGTGTTCATTTATTGATTTTTGCACAAAAGATTCCTCCTCGATGTGTTTCTTTTACCTTCTTGAGACTTCACTGCAGCACTTTGCAGTTCTGAGGCAGATTCAATAATACAATATAGCAGTGGTTCATTAAAGGTGAGGGCGTGATAAGACTTTCTGTATCAGTGCGTCATTAAAGGAATGAACACACTTTAATCTACATAATGGCATGATTTTATAATTGATCTCTATTAACATTTTAATGAGTAGTCACCTGAGATAATCGCACGAGGAGCAATAAAACTGTAGAATCACTTAATGATGTCAATCTTCTGTCTTCAGCCAGACTCTAGACTTTCCTGTTCTGCAGCTGATGGCGATGAATCTGAACTTAGCTGAGACATGTTTGACTTCTGAAGAAATTCTGCTTATTAATTTAGGTTTGTACCAAACATCCGGAGCCCTGATTTATTTAATCACAAGGAAAAAAAATATGATTATTGTGTAATAATCTATTTTAGGGGAAAAAAACAGCAATGTATTTTCCTTTATATTATATTTGCAAATAGATATTTTACACTTAATTTTAAAATGTATTCTTGCTGGGTATTTTTAGGGTGTATAACCAGAGGTGGGAAGTAGATTAGTACTTCAGTAGATTTTGCAGGTATCTGTACTTTACTTGAATAATAATTTTTCTGACAACTTCTTACTTTCACTCCCTACATTTGAACACAAATATCTGTACTTTCTACTCCTTACATTCTCAAAACTGGCTCGTTACTTGTTTCAACCACTGCCAATGACGACATGATGCAAAAGACGTAACAACAAATGTCTTTATCTTTCCCAGCAGTGTGCAGTTTGTCACTGAAGCTAAACACAGCCCTGCCTGCCTCAGCTGCCTGCAAGAGGCTTTCTAGCACCACAGGACTGATACTCAGACCCAAAAGGGCAAGAACTTTGAGAACCAGCTTCTACTGAGGCTCAATAAAAGATTTTGGTAGTCGTGAAGAGATGAGTTTTTCCATGTTGACTATAATGTTTAATGTTTATCATGTTGCTGAAATGGAAAACTGTTCAGTGATGTTTTTCTCTGTAGCAGCACTTTGCAGGTTCTTAAAGGAGGAAAACAATCCTGTTTTCTGTCTTTTTGGTTATCAAAAGAAGCATCGTGTATCATCGAAGCTAAAAATTCATTTTTACTTTTTGTTTTTGTACTTAAGTAAATTTCTGAACCTGTACTTTTTTACTTTACTTGAGTAAAGGAGCTGAGTCAGTACTTCTGTTACTAGAGTCTATTTTTACACAAGTATCTCTACTTCTACTAAAGTAAAGAATGTGAGGACTTTTGCCATCTCTCCATATAGCTAATGTTTTCCACATAGTTTACTCTTTTGTTTTACGTATATATTACTACTATAATGAAACGGTAAAACTGTGACATCTGCTGGAGAACAGCTGCTTCTACAGAGCAGATTCTGCTCCTCGCTGCTGAACTGCTACTGACAATTAGTTCAATCCCAAAGTAGAATTTCCCTAAAAAGCCTCATAAACAGACTCAGCAGCTTCTTTTAAACACTGTGGTTGAAATGTGGGTTTGAGGGGTTTTAATTTATGACTTTCAAGACCTCACATTTAAAAAATCTTAACTCGCGGGGCATCCGGGCTGCTTAATCCTGAAACTTTCTTTTTAGATACTTTGCTTATTTTTGTCAAACATTTTGCTAATCGTATAATTTACTTTAAGTGTTCTTACAAATATTTGTATGTAATGATAGTAATAATCATCATAATAATTAATAGTCTATTTAATGTTGCTTATATTTTGTCTGATATTTTACTAATAATTTCTTAATATTTCTCACGTATTAGACATATTTTGGTCAGATTCTTTAACATTTGTCACATACTAGATAATTTACTAGTATTTGTCATACAATATGTATATATTGGGGGTTTTTTTTGTTATTAGTATTTGTAACATATTGTACTAAAATCGATCTCCAGCCTCCCTAACTGTGGCCTGTTCCAAATCCTGTATAAATAAGAAATGACACGATGGTCTCCTTAAATCAGAGCGGTATGCTTTACTCAGCACGGCTTTCCTCCATTTCCTGACTGACAGAATAAAGAATTACGAGACCAATAAAAATCCAACACAAAGACGAGAAACAGTGAAGTCGTTTAATTTAGAAAATTAGAGTGTAATTATCTTGTTTACATGACGAACCTCGTGGTGCTGTTAGAGCAAAAGTCACAGAGCCTCCACAGTAATTAGGAATCACAGATTTATAGAAAAAGTTCCTTTTTAGCTTGAAGACGCCAGAAATGAAACTCGATACAGCGAGGGTTTCCCAACAGCTCATATCTCTGCAAGTTGGCGGGTCAAAGTCTGAGATCAATCCTGATCAGTCGCAAACCGATCACTGCTGCTGCTGCTGCCTGATATGAACAGGAGTGTGCAGGTCGTCCGGCTGGTCTGCAGTCAGCGTACAGTAGTTTAAAGCACATAGTTGGAGCGGAAAAGCTCAGAGTGAAAAAATACAACTGAATAAATTCTTAGAAAAGACTGAAATATGGATAATAATAATAATAATAATAATGATGATGATAATATTAATAATGAAAATAAGAGTAACATTTGGCCTCATGAGGATCCACAAAAACGTCAACTCCACCATCCAACCCCACGCTTAAAAAAACCTTTATTATCCTGCTCTGGGTCCTTGAGCAGCTTTGAGCTTTGGCATTTATCTTCAAAAACGATTTGGTCCATTTTTTTTCAACCTCCAGCAGTCGCTGGTCAGTGCTTTGTGCCCCGAAATCCATAATCAATATCAGCTGCAGGCCTGATCCATCGGAGGGCGAAGAACTGGACTCATCTGGACAGAGACACAGATAACACTGATCAGATTCATCAGAGGATCAAAACTTCCAGCAGCCGCAACAAACGTCAGACGACCGACAGCAGCTCAGTCGAAAGATCATTTCAGGTTTTTCACCCAAAGACATGAAAATAAAATACTGACATTTTAAAGTCATTTACTGCTAATTGTCTGTTATCTGATGATTTCTTTTATTATTTTATTGATATTTTTCCCAATTACTATTAATTTTTTACTAATATTTGTTTTCACAGATTTGTTTTGAGTATTTTACAAACATTTTACAGACATTTCTTAAAATATGTTCCTAATATTTTCCAGGTAAATATTTTGGACGTATTTTATTGCAAGTTTTTCAGATATTTAATTAGATGTGTCACATATTTCACCACCTTTTTTCAGATATTTTAAGAGTGTGTTTGTCCAATTACAAAAAACTCCAAATCAATAAAAACACAAACTGTTTTGATTTGAACAGCAGAAACTATAAATAGATTGACTAATGCTTCGGCTCTATTTGGATGGACTGGTGGGCAGCTGAATCTAAAAAAAAGGCATCCACAATTTTTGTATGTAAAAAAATCTTCATTTTTAGTTCAGTAAATAATAACTTAAAATAAATGTGATGAAGCACAAAGTCCAACATTTCCATCTGAAATGTGGCAGAGGGGGAAGTATAAAGCTGAAAATGTTCAAAGCAACGTCTCAAACATCTAGTAAATAAGTAAATATATTGCGGTACAGCCCTCCTCTGGATTAAGAAGATGATTTAAGATGAATTAGATGAATTGTCTGAGCTGAATAACATGTTTACTGTTTCCAGCAGTTTTTTTCTTTACAGCATAAAATGATGTAACATTTTGTTTTGTAACATTTTATTTTGTAACATTTTGTTTTGTAACATTTTGTTTTGTAACATTTTCTTTCATAATGGATCATCACCAAAAATGCTGTTGTGTGTTTGCTAGCGTTCAAATAAACCCAGTCTGGCTGATTCAGCGTCGCTGCTGTTGACCTCTGACCTGCGGAGGCTGCGAGCTTCGTAGAGCGTGTCGTCCTCGTCGCTCTCCACCGCCTCCATCTCCACGGAGTCGTCGTAGTTGGACAGCAGGCCGTACTTCTTCTTCAGAGCAGGTTTCTTCAGCCTGACAAAAACATCGCATAACAGACAGAATCATCATTTACAGGCTGCGAGACGGAGCCGAGGCGCAGCTGTCGACTTTATTTGTATCAGTTAGAAAGAGACTAAAGCTTGAAATATGACATCTGTGGATGGAGTTGGTCCTGATATCTGCCCATTTGTATGAAAGTTAATTATTGTGGTTATTGTCACTCAGAGTCAGAGGTTGAGACCAAGTACTGACGAATGACGACACATTTCAGACTCACGTATCGACTTATTGACAAACTGAAGGTTGCACTGATAGGAGAGGGTACAAGAAGTTAGTAGGTGACCCATTTCAGAGGAAATGCTTACATACAGTCAATAAACCAACTTACACAAGCAGAAGCATTAAATCCCTGAATTGATGGATGAAGTTTGGTGTGATGTCAATGAATATATTGTTACTTTTGGATTAATCAAATAGTTTATCAGCTAAACTAGAAACAATAATATAAAGAAGTGTAAGTTTTGAGCCCTCCTAATTCAAGCTGTGTCAACACTAACTTCATATCAGCTTATTCCCTACCAAGCCCTGCAAGTGGACACACATGAAACCAATTCACAAATGCAGCGTTTTAAAGTTTGTCTGCTTCTCACCACTTTAGTAAAAAAGTGAGTTGTGTGTGTTTTAAAAAAAAAAACTTTTAAAGAGTCACTCTTCAGTTCAGCTTCCATCTGATCTGAGAATATTTGTGCTTACTTTCCCTTTTTGGGTGTTTGAGATGCACGCTGAATGAAAGAGCGGCCAATAAAAGTTTATAAATGGGCAAAAATCTTTTATGATACGACGCATAAAACTGCTTCTAATGGAAGAAATATTCTAGATGTGGTTGGAGGTGATGTCAATTGATCAGTAATTCTGTTTGGATTCATCTATCGATTGATCAATTCTACTTATGTACAATTTTGTAAACACCTAAATTCAGGCTGTGCCAAAAAATGACATTAACTTTATAACAGCTTATATAAGTGGACACACATGAAACCAAACTTTATTCACAAATGCAGCGTTTTAAAGCTCCTCCACCTTTCAAGAGTTCGCTGTAAAATGTGAATTATGTGTATTTTTGAAGCTGGAGGAGCCTCTTCGTGTATATGATCTGAAAATACTTGTACTTATCTTCCTATGTTAGATGTATGAGATGCATGCAGCAAAGTGTTTTTACATATTATATCTAAAGCTGCCTTTACTAGAGGAAATATTCTATAGATGGAGTTTGCCGGGACACCAGCTAACTTACAAGCTGTGCCAAAAAGTTGATTTAATATCAGCTTACATCCTGCCAAGTTCCTGTATGTGGACACACAATAAACTAAACTCCAGCGTTTGAATGTTTCCCAGCATTTAGTAAAATGTGCGTCATGTGTTTCCTAAAGCTGGAGGAGCCTCTCGTTTCTAATTACTTTCCTGTTTTGGATGTGTCACATGCATGCCGAATTGGAGGATGGCCCTTACATTTTAACAAAAAGGCAAAAAAAAAATATCTCAGTTTATGTAAGATTGTTTATACTAGCGGGGGTGTTAAATTGCCAGATTTATCAATGAAGTTTGGTGTGGCGAATAAAACTTACACTTACTTTCTGATTATTTTTTCTTATTGTAAAAGTTATACATTTAAACTTTTACAGTTTTGTATCCAGTTAATTCAAATGTTTGCTAAAAAGCGAATACTAACTTTACATCAGCTTATATCCAGCGTGCCCCCAGTATGTGGATACACAGTGAACCAAACTCCATTCACAAATCCAGCGTTTTAGGGTTCCTCTGCTTCCCAGTGTTGGAACAGACGTATACAATGGGGGAAAAATGTTGTAGGTATTTTTTAAAACTGGAGAATCAAGTTTACAGTTCAGTTTCCATGTGATCTGATGTTATCTGTAATTATTTTTAACATTTTGGACATAAATCGCGTTGGCTTTAAAGTAGTTCTCACCGCACGGCTCGGATCAGGAAGTACAGGACCCCGATCACGGTGATGCCGATGAGGACGTACAGGGCCCTCTGGATCATGGAGCTGTCCACGTTGAAGCCATTACTCATGTGTGTGGAGTTCAGCCCGGTGGAGTTGGTCACGGCGGGTTTGGGCGCCGCGGTGACTGGAGCTGCTCCGAACACATCCTTCCCCACGGACACGAACACCCAACATATCGGCACAAGAACCGCCGAGAAAACTCTGGTAAAAGTCATCTTACATCTGAAAACAATCGTCAGGAAAGAAAACTGGAGAAGAGCTGCGACTTTTGGACCGGTACCGGAGTCGGACCGGGGTTTTCCAGATACACGTAGCGTTAGCTGAAGTCTGCCGCCGCTTTGTTGACAGAAAGTATAATCCAACCAGGAAGTGCACCGCTGACATCAGAGAGGAAGTTGGAACAAATATCCCCTCAGTTTGGCTACAGGAAGAGAGTGTCAACCAATCACAGTGAGCCCTGACACCTGCAAGACCAAGAAGAGGGTTTACTTAACATAAATTATAACCGTAAGAAAGCGCAGGTACAGTCTACAGGTAACACACGAGGGGTTTTATTTTTGTTTTTAAAAATAAAATTACGTTTCTAGTATTTATTTATGTATTTATTATTTGTTTTTTCAATTAACGAACTAATATAATAATTTAAAAAAAATCTATACACACTTTATTATAATAACATGATTTAAAACACTGTGTGTGCTGTACAGCCTATACGACAGGGAACAACAGAAATATGTATGAAAAAGCAAAACAGAAAACAAAAACAAAAAATTAACAGATGAAGGTGGAACCTTCAGGCATCTGGAAATTGTACCCAAGGATGAACCAGACTTGTGGAGGTCTACAGTTCTCTTCCTGATATCTTGGCTGATTTCTTTAGATGTTCCATGTTGTCACAAAAGGAAGCAGTGTGTCTGAGGTTTGCCTTAAAATACATCCACAGGTGTGCCTCCAATTAACTCAAATGTTGTCAATTAACCAATTAAAAGCTTCCAAAGCCATGACATCATCATCTGGGCTTTCCCAAATAGTTTGAAGGCATAGTATTATTAGTGTATGTAAACTTCTGACTCTGAAGAAAAAAAATCTCTAAAAACTTCTCTCTTTAGCGAATAGAAATAATGTTGGTCATCTTAACTGACCTAAAACAGGAAAAGTTTAGTCTGATTTAATGTCAGACAGTGAGAATATTGTTTTTTTTAAATGTCTTTTTACAGGTTTGTGCTCAGGGGCCTGCTGTCCTATGATCTGTCCGTGTACAGATGAACATATAGAACATGAGCGTGGTTGTCTTGTGGAGTAATCACCCTTCTGACTGTGTTCCACCTAAATGTGTGTGATTGCTGGCAGTTCAGAAAAAGTGTCAGCATTAATCCTGCTTATTTTCAGCTAATGTTTACCTGCTTCTTCAGCCTGAAGCCTTTAACTGATAAAAATCTGAGCATGCTAACATCAGGACAGCTGACATCACACATTCAAAATGTGACACGTGTGACAATGTGTGAAGACACATACGACTAGAGGAAAGGAAAAAAAGGAAAATGGAGAGAAATCCATGTTGGAGTGTTGATATGCACTGAGGTGTGAGGAAGTTATGCATAATTTAATGATATTTTTTCTGACACTTTAAAAAAATAGATTTTTTTGGTATATTTTATTGATATTTTTGATAGTGTCCTCCTATATTTTACAAATATTTTTAGCACATTTGAAGGGTTGTTCTGCATATTTTGTAGCCTTTTAGGTTAGTTTACAAGAAAACTAACAGATTTTTTCCCCCCACATTTGATTAGCTGTTTTTTTTTTTTTTTGTGGATAGTTTATCAGAATATTCAAGAAATATTTTCCACCATCTTTTGCTGATTTGCTCTTGTGTATTTTATTGACTTCTTCAGATAGTTTTCTAAAATATTTGACAAATATTTGTCACGTATTTTACTGATTTGCAGAACCATGTTTTATGGACTGTTTTTTAGATGGCTTAGTGGAATATTTAACACATATTTTTCACGTGTTTTCCTGGTTTATTTTCTTCATGTTTTATTAAATATTTTTTTGGAATAGTTTGCTGGAATATTAACATGATAACAAATATTTTACAGATTTTTTGTTTATCTTATTGACTCTTTTGGATTCTTTATTAGAATATTTTACACACTTTTTTTTTCTCAAATATTTAATTGATTTTTTAAAAAATAGTTTGCTGGAATCTTTTACAGATGCACATCATACAATTATTATAATAATATAATTTTTGTATTTTTTATTATCTATAGCTCACATTTTAGGAAAGTCATTGTTTTGTTTTTAATGCACTTCTTATATTCACCATTATTTTTTTTAGATATAAGGCCACTACTTGTGTTGTATTTGGTTACAAAATGCTTTACGAAAAAGAACCACAAAAAAACATTACAGAAGACAATAAAACATCAAAAAGACAGTAAAACCTTAAATTAGACAATACAAAATATAGCACAGTAATAATCCTGCAACCATGTGCAAATGATATTTGACAAAAAACTTAATTATTAACGAGTCCATGAATCATCTGATGTGATTCTGCTGTTTGATCACGAAGGAAGAATCACGAATTAGACACATTTATGGATTAAATCTGCTGTTTCGGTGGTGTGAGTCTGTGGAGCCAGGCACGTGAGACCGTGTGCGGGTTGCGGGTTTGATTCCCGCAGGATCAAAGCCTCCAGATGTCACGCTAATGTACATTTATGTATTTAGGTTATTTCTGTATTTAGGCTGCTGACAGAGGCTGCTGTGACTGACAGGCCGGCGGTCCAATAGGAGCACAGCGGTGCTCCTGTGCGGGGCTGCGATTGGGCAGCGCGGTGACAGAGGGGCGGGGCTGTGAGATTACAGCAGCATCCCTCTCTCCGCAGATCCAGCGGACATCTGGAGCAGCCCTGCCCGGGAATCAAACCCCCGAGCATCGAACACCGACATCCCGCACCGAGCCAGGCCGGCTCTCGCTGTCTGTTTCCCGGTGAAAACGTTCCCTGCGCCCCAGTGTCGCTGTGGCGGCTCTGCGGGCTGGATCTGCTCCGGGAGGCTGCTGCTGCTGAGCTCCGGAGGGACCGATGGTCCGTTTCTGCCGGTAAAAACACGGAAATACTGAGACTGAAACCCGGGAGGGGGTGATGGACTGAAGTGATCCTTCATCTGAGAGGTTTTTGGGCCCGATGGAAGCTGCGACACATCTGGACCTGGTGCGTCTGGATCCTGGTTCCTGCCTCAGTCTGGACTGAAGCGTCTCGTCTCCGGGGGTTCGGTGTATTTTTTCTCTGTAGTTTTCTTCTGTCGGTGTTTTGCTCGCAGATAAACGGTCCTGATCGAGAGTTTGAGGGAGCAGGCGGATCCCCCTCCTCCTCCTCCCGCTGGTCTGGATTAGAGCCCATCAGGATCATGAATCATCCCCCCTCTGCGACTCTAATCTGGGTTTTACCGAGCTGGATTTAAATCTGAGATCTGATCTGGATTACTCCGCTCCTGGTTCTGATCGGGTCACATCTGACCCGATCTGAGCCGGTCCCGGTCCTGCTGTGATCTTGGGCTCGGTCCTGGTCCTCTTCTGCTGTCATCATGCCGACGTCCAGGCCCGGTTCGGAGCCGGTGGAGTTCTGGGTGGACGGGTCGAGGCGGGACGGGACGGTGGAGGACTTCTACACGCTGAGCGCCGAGCTGGGCAGGTCTGGACCGCCTCACTGGGGGGGCCACAGGGGAGATCACACGGACCCTTCATGGGGCCAAAGTTGTCCTCATGAGGGGGTCCGTGTGAGGCTCAGTCCGGGATTAACTTCTGCAACACTTTATAATCCAGCCTGAGATTGACAGTCAGTCAGCTGGAGCAGGTAGCAGTGAGACCGTGAGTGAGGAAGCAAACATAGA